TCTTTGTCAGCCACCGGTGGTGCCATTGTCACGAATGGATTAAAAAGCAATCGATCTGAGGTTGAGAAACGATCGATAGCTTTTCACGAACATTTTAATAGTTAAACTATTTGTGAACAACTTACTCGAAAGGAGACGGATGAGCTTGCAGGCCAAGCGGCTCACAATACTTTCGTGAAATTAGATCAAACCATCCCGCTAATTAACATATTCATGCGTTTTTCTTTTGGGAAATATGTAAGAGGGTTTTCCGCGGCTCTAGAATTATCAATTAAAGAATGTTGAAGTAGAATTTATCACAAAGTTAATTTTGTTCTGAATTTACTTACGAAAACTAGAGAAGAAATCCATGTGTGCCACACGCGTGATTCGGAAGTCAATTTCCGGACCGGTTTTTGCTCCAACTCTCCAGGATTTCCATTTTTGGGTTGGCTAACAGAAAATAAATCCACTTGACTGCTGCATCTGCTCGACCTCTTAAAGGAAGCGATTACGATAAAGAGGGAGCGCATCGGGAAGCATATGCACCACACGAATCAGTTACTTGGCTGCCAGGGAAGCGAGGTGTGGCGCTTTCACGACGAAAGGTGCGCTGGTTGCTGAGCAGGACTTCGAAAGCACTCCGCCCCCAAAAGCGATCCGCCCACTAGTTTACTTGTTGATTTGGACGAGCTGCGTGACCAGCAGCGGCGCAAATGGAGCATCTCGATTGAAGCGTAGTTTGGCATGGTGCCATCGAAACGCGTTGCGGTGAACTCGTTCATACGTCCACTTTTTAAGCTGAGTGGAAACCAACTGCCAAAGAAGGGGGTATCATTGATCACCATTACGTCACACCAAACCCTTCTTGAATTTCGTAAGGCTTCCTTTAAGTCTTCGAGTACACCCCACGCTAAATGCCACTGATATTCAAAATGAAACTCAGTGCATGGCGCAACCTCGAAAAAGATTGGTTTACGACGACTATACTTCATCTCTTTTGTGAACACATACATTAAGTGAAGTTGGTAGTACCTCAATGAGGTGTAGTACGAAATAAAATCTGGAGAATTGGCAATAAGTTAAATGTTTCATATTGACTTTTTCAGAGAATTGAAATCATTGACGGCGAAGTCAACGTCTATCATGATCGCGTGGTTCAGTACCAATTGAAAAGCATGCAGGTACGGTTTGTTTTCTAGCACTTGGCTCAGTGCCAGGAATCCCTGCACCACTTGCGGCTATTTTTTGCGATACATTATAATACAAGGGTATTGAAATTGTTTATGTCAACTAAGCACTGCTATTGAATGTTTGTTGCTTCTAAGGGGACTAACATGGCTGTGCTAAATTCCGCCCCTTCATAAGAATGCTCCGCCCACATTTGAATTCACTATCACTGTTTCAGTATCTCGGACCGATCCTGATGGGAATTGGCTCGTTTATTCTGATTATCGCATGTGTGGTGACCCTCGAAAGTAGAGATAAGCACGCCCAGGTATTTTTGATTAATTATTGAATTCAGCGTGTTTTTATTGATTTATGATTTCCAGGTAATTACCGAGGAGTCGATGTCGTTCAAGAAACGACGAATGATGTCGATTGAAGAGCGGGCAGAATTATCGATGAACGAGGTCAGCGCGGATGATGATGAGAGCCCAATTACGCCCATGGTCGAAAATCAGACCACTGTTGATCAATACAACAGGTAGCTTACAAATTGTCAAGATTTCCTCTACGACACTAACTGCACGGCGGTTTCCTAATATTACTGAAGTTGGCTTTGTTTTTGAATAGGTCTCGTTTAGATGACAAACATTGGTTTTCATGAGTTTTCAATAATCATGTTTCAGCATCAGCACCTTGGCCGAGGTTCATCGGCCTCGTCCGGCTGCTTCACGGATGGCTCCTCTAGCTGAGATTGATTCACTGGTGAGTCAACGAACTTCCTCCAGTGTTTTTTTGCAGCAGTGGCCAAGTAACCGCGTTGCCAAATTTAGCATTGCTATGATTTATCGTTAGTTGCTGTATCAACAATTTATTTTCTGCTAGCGCAATTTGCCATGGTAGCGCACTTGCCCGGAAAGCGAGAGGTGCGGGTTCTAGTCCCGCCTGGGGCGAAAGTTTTGTTCACAACCCAGCATTCTTGTGAAACATTCGCAAGGCGAACTGCGGCCAAAAACAGCAGTTAACAAACAAAAACAAGTCAAAAATTGCTGAAATGCCCTTCTTTTTTTCTGGTCGTGAACTTGCTGATCCTTACCAGAGGCTGCAGGCAGGGTCAACCGTCCGTTGGACAAAGTCCAACGCGACGACGAGAGTAATGCCGAGAGTGAACGTACGCACGGAGACACAGACGGCTCGCGGGTGGCGAGAGTGAATGCCGGCGCGGAGAGCGGTGAACATCGGTCCAACGTCGCTCCAATATCGGTCCAACGTAACGGTTGACCCTGCTTGGGTCCATACAAGAAATAATACTGCACTATTGAAATACAAGGAAAGGGCGCTAGGGTTTAGGTTTTCGACCACGGCACGCCCGTCGTTGTGTTATCAGCGTTCGTTCACATGCGTATGATGTTCTCGCCGCCGTCTTATTCTTTCTTACGTCCCCGCCCTACTATTATCTACTGCTTCTTCCACACCGTTCCATAGCCCAAAAAATGGATATGACCTAAATCAAAAGCTTCAGTGATCATTCTCTTTTCTTTTTCATACCAAATCGTTAGGCAGTGTTCCGCCAGCGAAACACTATTACTCCATTATCTCATCGCTAGAGTGAGCCTTTAAAAGTTCTCTATTGATCTCCAACTTCTGGCATTGGCTAGACCGTAAAAAGGTCAGCTGGTGGGGCAGAGCAACTGGGATAGAAACCTTGTGATATGTGAATTACCGAGCCATGGGGCCTCAACCCTCGATCACTTCTGTGCCTTTCTGTGTTGGATTAGTGCTATACCTGAACTTTTCAACTGCAAGCTGAATTTTTGCGTGAACCAGGCTAGTGATAGGTAAAAGATTATCGTGGCCAGATGTCACTCTTATTGAATGACTAGATCCCGCAAGATGAGCCGTGCGCTCAACTACGTGATTGCGACGCGAATGGACTCCGTAGCGTCATCTTACACTGGTCCTGTAGTGCCTTTCAATTTTAGGAGTTGAGTTAAAAAAATCAGGCACCACCTGCAAACTCCGGCCTCAAGCGACACACACGGAATTCGGCGGTTTCTTCCTGGTTTCTGCCTTTTTGCACCTTGGTATACACACGCACTCACCCTCCCCTCAAAAAGCCAGAAAGTGTCGGGTGCAGACCAAACAGTACAAATGACGACGGCCTCCAAGTAAATCTGGTTAGGAGGAGTTTATAGTGATAGCTCTAGTTACCAGATTATTATCCGTCAACCGCCGGGACCTTCCTTTCCTGCGCAAGCTTTCTATCCTCCGCTATGGTCCCTTCCTCCTGTGACACCAACACCTCGTGGAAGTGACGCGTATGCAACACAATGGTGTTTCATACAGTAGAAGGGACACAATCATGATATGACGGTAGATTTTTCGCTTCCCTTCCTCATCCTCCCTTCCTCTCTCCACTGCCCTCCAGCTGCCACTGCAGCACCATGTGGAATGAACGGAAGTGTGCTAAGCAGGTGTTTATATAGCCCTAAGAGTGTTATCACAACTATCCTGCTACAAAACATTGATATCTCAAATCCTGTAAGCTACCCGATTTGTTAGCGGTTTGTTTATCCCATGAGCTTCCTTCTCACTCACTTCATTTTGCGGACGGACACACATACATACATACACACACATACAGATACACAAACCGACACACAAAGTTAGCGCTTTATAAAATAGAAGGATAGTTTAATTAGTTCATTGGCAAAAAAATAGTTGCATTTTCTGGAGGCCGTCGTCACTTGTGGTGTATGGTCTGCACCCGACACTTTCTGGCTTTTTGGCTTTTTGAAGGGGAGGGTAGGCTTATCCACACACGAATGCACCGGTATGTCATGCCCACACAGGATTCCGCTTACTCTACAAACTCTGAAAGAAGCTATGCTGCTCCATTCCTCGAAAAAGCTTGAAGGAGTTTCTGTGTACAACGCTCACGCTCCGCATGTTGTGAGGACATTGTAGGGGATTTGGGGCCGGATGCGACAAGCCCCGTCTAGGGATTGGTGCCCCCAAACTCTGCCCCTTTGGACGCTTCCTCTTATTCATGACCATGAGAATGCGCCACTGAGCGGAGTAGATATGCAAGTTCCGGGATCCATCCTCGGCCGGACACTGCTGCACAGGGGCCTGAAAAATGAGATCTTCATGTCCTTCTCACCAGGTCGGAAAAAATTTAATATTGGCGGCATGCCGAGAAAAAGTGAATGTGAGGGGGCGGTATTCAATCCGTCGTGCGTGGAAGTCATGAAGCTCCGTCTTTACGAAAAAATCAGTACATAGTTGCAATACTAGTCGGATGGGCACGCCGATTTTTTGAACACGGTAGGCGCAAAATGTACGTGGAGGCTGGTGTTAGTGCTATGATCTAACGAGACGCTGTGGGAATCGATAATCATTATCTCTTTGTTGCTTGTAACTTTGCCAGTATTTCATGCTGGGCCGTCCGAATATACACTCTGTCGATTTGTTGAGCCTTTGGGGATGAAAGAGGCTACCTCCTCCCAAGGCTTGTATCCATTCTCGTTAGGTTACAGCGTTGGGCTGCAGTCCCCACGTACGTCTCGTGCCTACCATACTCAAAAAATCGGCGTGCCCATCCGGCTGGCATTGCACCAAGCAGCACGTTAAACTCTCTGCTTCACGAGACTAGAAGAAAATTAGCATTCATTTGAAGAAAAGGTCTAGTAACTAATTAGATTTCAAGTATTAGGATGTCCTAGAAGTTCATGGCACTTTTTTTGGACCTTGTGCCGGAATTATTTAACCATTTTTGAATATGTTTAATGGTCTACGAAGACCGCATCACGTGAGGTAACTTATGACCGAAACATGCCCGCCCTAGCTGCTTCCTTCGAGTTCAAAATGAGAAAAGAAGAGAGTCATGTCTTTTTCCTTTTGATTTATGAACTTCCAATGAGCCGCCAACCGATCGAAGCCAAGAGTGACATTTCCTCTGCGATACAACTCCATTTCGATTTACCATGCGCTTCGGCATGGATAGATCTCCTACACTCTGCAGACTTTGGCTTGGAAGAAAATCCTGGACCAGGAAGGCAACCGGTGTTCGATTAGGACCTGGAATGGCGCGCAAAGCCATTTCGCCGCAACTTCCTGAGCCAAAGAGTGGATATTTTTCCTGGGCTCAGGTGAGAGGGCAGGGTAGGGGTTGAGAGCCTACGGGGTTGACCACTAAAAATCTATAAAAAAATGGTTTGGATGTCTATGATGTAGGACATTTCACCCGTTCTTATCAATAAGTCACATTGGCTCCCCCACTTTCTTCACGATTTGGGGTGCGGCCGCGACAAACCGCGGCGTTTGCGGCCGATAGTGCGGCATCGGGCTTTGCCGAATATCGACGGTTAATACGCTGTCGTCTTACGATCGGATGAACTAACACAATGTTACGTCGAATACTCAGGCAAGCTGATGCCGCACTACTCGGCCGCGAACGCCGCGTGGTTTGCCGCAGCCGCGCCCAAAATCGTGAAGAAAGTGGGGGAGCCAGTCACATCGAATGAGCGTGTTGTCTAAGTTTCTATGCTTATCGGTAGAGTATTCTAAGCGCTACCTAGCCCCTTATCCTTAGAGCCTCGGAGCAAGATGGAATGGCCCCTCCAACTCTATTTTCATCGACAATATACAACACACTCATACAAGGAAGAAATAAAAACGGGTCTTCGTGCGTAATCTTCCAAAGTATACATTGTAAAAACATATGGGCGCAATGTGGCTCGGGGGGGGGGCAGTCGCCGCGCGCGGCTCAGCGATGTTGTGTAACTCGAACATTCCCAGCTCTCACGGAACAATCCAGCTTCTCACGCATGTCAAGTGACTGCCCTCACCCCCAACCCCCCTGAATTGGCTACATTCCCCCTGGCTCACGAATTTCCTGTTGCCGCAACGCCGCCGCGCGCGGCGACTGCCCCCCCCCGAGGCACATTGCGCCAAACATATTTTTTTGCTGCGAAACATTTCCCTTGACCAACTTCGAAGAACACCACAAACTGAACAACCCATTAGAAGTCATTATCTCGATCTCATCATCTCTCTTACAGGACCTACACTCGTGTTCGAGCCAAGTTACAACCGATCGAGAGCTCCTCGCCATGAATCCCGAAACGAAGGAAGCATAGATGATGTTCATCCAACGAAATTCTCTCATTTCATGAGAACTTTCCTTCGTTGCTCTTCAAAATCTCGAAAACATGGAGATCGTCTGGACTACGCACGTCAAATCTGGTGCACTGGACGCATTGCAATCAACTGTTCCCCAAATGGCATCATGCTGCTCATGCTGCTCATGTTTCTTGCATACTTTTTCATCAAACTTCTACAAGAAGGGCATGTCATGTCTACTGTATCCAGTAGACTTGTCGTCAGTTACGGAGCGCCATGTGTATAGATGTTCCAGGCGCATTGAATCTTACGGCGTCATATTGACTGCATGCGTCCAGTTTTCGAACGAATTGTTCATGTATGTAAAGGGCCAGACCTGCTCCGTGGGGAGTGAGGGAAGAGGGGGTCAGTTCGGAAAATTGGCCGAAGATAAGGGAAGTTTACAGTTGTTTCGAAAGTGTGCAGCGTACGTGCTTCAATCGATATATCGATCATCGGTCGATACATTGATCGCTCTACAGCAGGACAAAATCGACTTTTGGCCAGTTTTAAGCTCGTAAATATCAACTCTTTCCGCTTGTTAGAATCCAGATAGTGAATCCAATAACCTCGTTCTCCTAGCGGGTGGATGTCTGGTCCCTTTCAAATCTGTAAATAATTTGTCAGTCTGTCATTGTCTACGGGTATTTTTGTTGTTTGTTATTTGCCTACATAAACCTTTATACAACATT